CTTTAATCCGATATCATTTGATCACTCAATTGAGTTATTGAAATTTTAGTACTTTCTTAAAGCACCGTGTTCATTGATTTTGTAAGACACAATTAGATGTCGAAACGGTTTCCGATTTGTCTAATTTTTGTAAGGATGATTTATGAATGAAGACCTAAAAAATAGATGGTTTGGATTATTGGGAAAAAAATTGTAGGGTACCCTAAATGACGTCCCTCAAATAAAATTATTTGAGAGATCCCTCAATAGAGGGGACTGTAACTATATATATAAAGCAAAAGGCAGAGAATGGTGAAACATTCAAAATACAAAAAAATGTCATTGATTAATTCAAATATTAAGAATTGAAATTATTAATTAAATAAGAATAATATAGTAAATTCACATTTTTTCATATTAAAAAAAATCAGATAATAGGTCATACTTTTGTGGAACATAACTACCCATGTTATTTTTTCTTAATTCTTAAATATAAAAAAAATATATACAAAACCAATTGGCATATGCGTGAGCATGTGCCAAGGGGCTGGTATATATATAAAGCAAAAGGCAGAGAATGATAAAACATTCAAATACCAGAAAATGCCCTTAATTAATGCAAACAGTGAGAATTGTAATTATTAATTAAATAAAGATAATATGGTAAATTCACACTTTTATTCAAAAAAAAAAAAAAAAAAAAAAAAAAAAAAATAATGGATCTCATTTTTATGGAACACAACTATATATTATCTTTTTTAATTCTAAAATAAATTTTAATTTTTTTTCTAAAAAAGCCTCTCTCAAACGCAGAAGCGTGTGTGGAGACGCTAGTAGAACATTATGGTAAAAAAAAGTTTATTCTCGTCAAGTGTTAATTTCAAGTATTTCAAAAAATTGTCCAGGAAGAGATAATATATTATCCCCATAAAAATACCTTATGGAGACTGTATTTTCTACTACTCCTCTCTACTTTCCTCCCTATTTACAATAACATCCACACAGTAATAATGTGTAGATATCTAAATAAGAGAATAAACCATAAATATATATATATATATATATATATAAACCATGGAATAAGAAAACATATAATATAGGAATAGTATTTGTTATTGTAATTGGTATTAATTAGTCTACATTCAAATTGGCCTGAACAAATGTTGTACTTGTTTGGTCATTTTACTTAAAAGAACACCATTTTTATCTCCTTATTAAGACCCATAGTATCACGTTTCATTTTTTTTTTTTTCTTTTGGTTTATTTTTTTTTTTTTTTTTTTTTTTTTTTTTTTTTTTTTTTTTTAAAATAAAAATAAAAATTAAGAGGCACCGTTGGTGTTGTAGTTTTGTCAGCTCCCTTAAACTTTAATTAATAACAGCTCCAACGTCAGAAAAAAAAAAATCCCCATCCTGATTCCTTTCACACTTGAGATAAACATGAAACCACATCCACGATTTCTGTATATATATAAACTTATTTTATGACACATAATTACACAAACCTCACTATCAAACAAAGGATATGGATGCCCATGGAAACCATCTAGGAGGTCATAACATCAATGACTTTGAGTTACAAGACCTCATAGATGATGCAAACCTTGATCAATTCATTGATCTTATCCGCGGCCAGAACGAAGATCCAGTGGCGAGTTTTGATTGTGACCTTATGATCAATGGCTGCTTTGATGATTATAACCTGTTTTGTCCAGCAATTACTACTCCAGGTGTGTTTTTTGGTTTCAATGATGCCGTTGCATCCGACCCAAGTGCTTCTTTTCTTGGCACATTATCTGACCCAAGTGCTCCTTTGCTTACCACATTACCAAATTTTGATGGAGAAATGAAGGGTGGGGAAGAAGATCATAATGGCGAGGATTCGTCTGGAACAACGACCACGACCACGAACACGAACACGAACAAGAGGCAAAAGGTTGATCGGTCGAGAACCTTGGTCTCGGAGAGAAGGAGGAGGGGGAGGATGAAAGAAAGGCTCTATGCACTGCGGTCCTTGGTTCCGAACATAACTAAGGTACGTACGTGTTGATAGAATTAAAGAGCATCCAACCCAAAAATAGCAAGAATTTACTTCTCCAATGTGTGATAAGACTCTCAACATGTGTGACCACCGTAGCCTATACATGCACCCCGTTTTTTACTAGTCCTAAGAAGTTTCATACAAAAATTTATTCTTGAAAGGTACAGGTCTAGTTTCTTTAAAAATTCCAATAACATTGGGTCCGACATATATGTATAATTATATGATATACATGCATGATTGTTGTTTAATTTGTTGGAGATACATATGCACAGATGGATAAGGCCTCCATTGTTGGAGATGCTGTGCTGTATGTACAAGACCTACAAAAGCAGGCAAAGAAGTTGAAAGCTGAGATAGAAAGCCTTGAAGCATCCTTAGCAGGAGCAGATGATCATGAGGGATATCAAGGCGGATCAACCAAAAATCCAAGCAAGAATAAAGTTACAAACAACAGCAATTTAGTTTCCAAAGGCATCATTCAAGTAAACATTCAATCAAATTGGATTTCAATTTATGATGACCATTAATTTCTGCAATATTAATTATTGAAACTAGTTTATGCCTTCGCAGATAGATGTGTCTCAAGTGGAGGAAAAAGGTTTTTATGTGAAGGTGGCATGTAACAAGGGAGACGGAGTAGCCGCGGCACTTTACAAGGCTCTCGAATCCTTTACAAGCTTCAATGTTCAGAGTTCTAACTTGAACACAGTTTCGACTGATAGATTTGAGTTAACACTTGCTTTAAATGTATATAATACTTGAGCTTTCAATTTGATCTTCTTCTCAACTCTCTCTCTCTCTCTCTCTCTCTCTCATCAACATTAATTAATTTTTATTTGTCCAAAAACAGGTAAAGGAATGTGAGCAGGACTTCATCAACTTGCCAAACTTGAAACTTTGGGTGACTGGGGCTTTTCTGAACCAAGGTTTTGAATTGGCTTCTGGGTTCTCAGCTCAATGAGCTCTTTCTCATGCATGCATGCAACAAGAACAATTATGCTTGTAGTTAATTAATTTTGAAGTATCTTCGACCCCCATCCAAATATGAGTAATATTATGCCTTCGGATAATTAGTTCTATCTAATTAATTATTGTTATATATAAAATATGCCTGCAGTCTTTTGAATAACAATAATAATGATTAACGTTGTTGGGTTAGCATAATGATTAATGTTGTAAGTCAAACATACAATGGATGATGACAAATGCCAACGCAGAGCTTAATTAATCCCCAAAGCACGGCCACTTCAAGCATGTGTATTGGCATTGTTGTGGCTTCCCCTTGATTACCATTCAAACTCAATTTATAAATTCCAATAAAATGTTCGTAATTTTAAGAATTTATGCCAAATACTGTATTTTGACTTTATGATTGGTGCAAGACGATCGATCAGTAACTGTGTGATTTAAGGATGAAAATATATGCCAATGCACCGATACTATCACCCAATATATCCCTTTTATCGACATGACGATGCCTACAACCTCTATTTCTTCTTTCGTACCCTCGACATTACGTAATGGGTCATACTAGGGAGACCAACTTTAAATACCAATTTGTATATCATCTCTCTAATAGAGGTGGAGCCCACCAATACAATGGGTCTCACGCTCTATTAGATAGATGGTACACAAGTTGGTATCTAAAATTGGTCTCTCTAACATTTTCCTTTCCTAATATAGCGGAGATTTCTGCTTTATCACCAACATTTCCCTTATATCAGCAGAGGAAACCCGGGCGATTAATTTGTGACAACACCATTATCAATTTATATCATACAAATCTGCATACGAATTCAAAAGAAAATGACTTAAAAACATCATTGTGAGATATCAGAATCAGAAACACGTATAAAATACCACTAGACCAGAACTAGTTATTCTCTTTCAAACCTCAGGCCCCCCATGTCGTCTCTCACTCATTGTGCTTGAATGAAGCCCATTTGTACCACAACCTCGTTGATATTCTTGGGCTAGTTCAATCAATTGTTTGAAGTCCCTGGGTGGAAAAGTTGGTATACGAATTCTTTTTGGGCCGTTGGTTTGTTGCATTCATTCGTGGCTTCGAAAGAATTAAGCATCTGTTGAGAGTTTCTTCAGAAATTATCACCAACAGGCAAAAATCCCTACCAAATTTGGAAAAAGAAAGGGAAACTATTGTATATGACAGTAAAGCTGAAAGGAAGTTAAACTACAACCAAGAAAAAATTTCCGAGTCACACAAAAACAACAAAGTATCAGAGAGTCAGATAAATTACAAAACAAAACAAAATACTTGGGAGTCAACATTTCAGACTACTTATGATACAAAATGGCATACTTTAGGCATCTGCTCTGCCTATAATATATAGTGCGAGATGCAAGATCGCCCAAACTGACAGTTTATCCATCCACGGTAACCATCTACTGCAGCTATGCAAGCTCAATGTCGGATACGGAATGGTTAAAACAGCACCATTTGCCCATTTTAGCATAATTCGGCATGACAACCACACTGCAGCAAAGGATTGCCGACATTATTGATTAGTTTTCCTAATTTATTTGTTAGTTTTCTAGGTTCTCTAAGTTTTCCAGATTTCAGTAGGATTTCTAGTTTTTCTAGATTTCTAAGTTTTCTATTTTATTTGGATTTGTTGTTTTCCTTGTCCTGTGTGGATTAGAATTTCTGTTTCAGTAAGGGATTTATATCCTGCTATCTCTTGGATTTAGTTTGTAATAAATACCCCCCATGTAATTCATTATGGTAGAGTTGATTTATTGAGTTAAAGATTAATTTTCTAGAGACTGGAATTCTAGTGCGAAGCCAAACCCCTTGGTGTGAAGCCCCAGGAGTGGTTCCAAACCCCTTGGTGTTAAAAATAATTCACCTATATCCCACACCAAATTTGGCATCAGAGCTAGAATTTCGAGTCACTTTTCTGCACACCGTGTGTCGAGTGTTTGGCTCCAACTAGGCGGGTAAGACAGACCAGCCAGAGATGGACTCTAAACGGATTGTTCAAATGCTGGAAACTCTAACAAAGCAAGTGACAGATCTGACCACCAGATTTGAAGAACGATCTAGACTTGTTGATCGTCGTTTTGCAGACATAGAAGCATCTATTCAACATGACGAAGAAAGTGTGAAACTTGACGCTCCTAATTTTAATGGTGAGTTAAATCCCAAAGCTTTCCTCGATTGGTTAGCTACCATGGATTGTTATTTTGCGTGGCATGACATGTCCGAAGCCCGAAAGGTTAGACTTGCTAAAATAAAATTACTGGGTCAAGCTGGATTATTTTGGACCAATGTTGAAACACAACTAAAGAGAGCTGGTGAAGAACCAATTGTCCATTGGGTTGACATGAAAGAAAGGTTGAAGCAGAAATATGTACCATTCTCCTATCAACAGCGCTTGTTAGACCAGTGGCAAACTCTTCGTCAAGGCAACATGCCAGTTATTGAATATATTGGAAAATTTGAAGAATTTATGTTCCGGTGTGACGTAAGGGAGGATCAATTGGTAACTCTTTCTCGGTTTAAATCAGGCCTTAGTACTGAGATTCAAAGAGAATTGATTCTTCATAACGTGAATACTTTAGAGAGGGCTTTTGAGGTAGTACCAGAACTGGAGCGTTATCTAAAGTCCTCCAATGTAGTCAAGCAAACTGACTCTCAAAAATCTGATTTTCGTGTTGGCACATTTGAGACTCCAACATCTAAGGGTTTTACTACGACTAATTTAGTTAAACCTGCCGATGAAAAAGGAGCACTAGTGGATATCCGTGGTGATGGGACGACAGGATGTTATAGATGCCAAGGTTTTGGACACATTGCTGTCCATTGCCCAACGAAGAAGGGAACAAGAAATCTGTGTGCAAGCATTGACAAACAAGCTGACAATGAAGGCGAACGTGAACAAATTTATGAGCCTCAACTTGCAGACAAAGATTTAGAAGATGACTTTGGTGAAGCCCCTCACTCAAGGCTAGCAGTGCTAAGGTGTACATTGACTCTACCTAAGAACGATACCGAAGATTGGCGTAGGACATCCATTTTCCACACTTATATAAAGTCTGATGATAAAAAGTGTAAGGTCATCATAGATAACGGAAGTTGTATCAATGTTGTGTCTACACTGACCGTATCTTGTCTTGGCTTGTCACCCTATAAGCTTCCTGAACCACACAAAGTAGCATGGATGGATGATACATCTTCTATCCCTATTACCCAGAGATGTCAAGTTCCTATTGAGTTTTCCTCTTACAAGGACCATGTTTGGTGTGATGTGGTGGCGATGGATGTGAATCATGTTCTCTTGGGAAGACCATGGATTTACGATCACAATGTTACCATATTGGGTCGAGAAAATATATGTTCATTCATCCATAAAGGAAAGAGCATCACACTGAAGCCACTTCAACCCAAGCTCGTGAATCAGTTTCCACCAAACAAGGAGGTGCAAAACAAAGAGGACCTGCAGCGCATTAATCGAGACATTTTGGATCGTGATTACAAACTTTATCTCGCTGGAATTGAGCGCTTCTCAGCCAGGGGGAATTGATGCGGACATCATTGATTAGTTTTCCTAATTTATTTGTTAGTTTACTAGGTTCTCTAAGTTTTTCAGATTTCAATAGGATTTCTAGTTTTTCCAGATTTCTAAGTTTCCTATTTTATTTGGATTGGTATGTTTTTTCCTTTTCCTGTGTGGATTAGGATTTATGTTTTAGTAAGAGAATTTCATCCTATTATCTCTAGGGTTTAGTTTGCTATAAATACTCCCATGTAATTCATCATTATGGAATTCTGGTGTGAAGTCCTGGAGTGACTCCAGACCGATCTTTATTCATTTAATTTTCTGTTTTTTATTGTTTCAGCTTCTACTAAACTCTCACAATCTATAATTCACCCATATCCTACATCAAAATATATACTGAAATTAAACACAAGCCTCACAGACACTACATATCATCATCATGCATCTCACACAAAGTACTTTGCAAGTGAAAGTAAATCCAAAAGTAAATACATTAACAATTACAACCTATTCAATCAAAGGAAGCTACTTTTTCTTAGTTAATCCTTCTTAACTTACTATTTTATTTTACTTTTCCATAGATCATCTAATATGAAACTTTAGTTGGGCCGTGAACCTAGTTTTCATAAGTGTATCTGTTTGGCGACAAGGTATGCTGTAGTTCAAACTGGGTCACCAAAATACCATCCTCATCATGAATGATTCCTTTTCACACAAAATCAAAATAATGTTGTATAGCAAACAATGGAATCTAAATCTGCAGGATCATAATAATTTCAAGTTTTAACAACTCAATTGAGTCATTAGAAGGTCATATATAATATCCCCATAGTCTACCTCTTGCAAGAAGCATAGGTCTACATGTGCATTTCAATATACATGCACTAAAACAACTTTATGGTTCACAGAACAGAACAGGAACCTGATACACGCATTCGTAACTAAATGTTATGTTCACCTATCGCAGAACATTGAATGATAGGGATAGAGTTAAATCAACTTTTCATATAATGCTTAACTATACTGTTTGAACGTGATAAGACAATCTAAGACCAAACATCTTTTATATATATTATCGTCATGTTCCTTTCAAAAGTAATAAACACAAGATAATATGGAAGGACATTTTGGATCTGGTAGCATATAGGACCAGAAGTGTACCACATCTTGGAAGCCAGATCGTCAGAAGTAGCATATGATAGTAAGTATGCGTATAAGCTACTGGCGTTCCAGTGCAAGAGAGGACAAATAAAGACCAAACAGCATGCCATGGCTCTAAAAAGCTTCCCTCAAGCACCAGCCACCTACAGGTTCAAAACCATGCCTGAAAAACAGGCAGGACAAAAAAAAATTAAAGAACCATTTATAGCCATTACTGAAATGATGTCATCAAGATTAATACCTGGCTACAGATGAGAAAGCTCATATGTGTTTGAGGTTGGAATTTATCAATCATCATACGCACCATGATGTTTATCCATAAAAACCTTAGCCTGCATGCATATCATCCATCATCAGGTTCAAGTTCTAACTTCAGAACATTAACAGATTGCAAGATAAAAGCCATCCTAACTATTTGGGATCAATAATCAAATTCTCTATTGGGATCCAGCTTTATCTGATCATACATTAGATTGACAATAACTTAGCAATCTTGGTCGCTAATGCTAAACATCCATCCATATGCTTGTGCTTATTAAATTGCATTAGGTGCTTTTACATAAGAAATTTCCCCAATGGAGAAAGTACCTGAATGTAATGGAGCGAACTAAATCTGCCTTTGCAAACTCAGCAAGGATAGAGGTCAAATCCTGTGGATCAACAATTCTGACTATGTGAGAAATTCATCTTGACCAACACAGTTTCTCTTGGACATGACCTGCAATGTTGTTCCTTTGGTAATCCAAGCTGTTACTTCCGGTTGATGTTCAAGACAATTAAGAGAACGTAAACTTCCATCCTCCAGTTGCACGCCATACACAAATGGGAGTCTAAGGGTAATGAAACTCTCTGGAGGTAAAACCACTTGGCATCCAAGGGTGAACTGCAACTTCTGCTCACGTTCTGGGACTGACGTTGGTAGACATGATGCCTACAAGTAAAAAGATTGCAATAACATAAGGAAAACCAAGATTTAAGTTACAAAGAAAGATGTAATAAACATAATTAGACTGAACAAAAGTGCAAAAAATGTCTATGCCTACAATATATTTTGAAAAAATAATAACACTAACAATGAACAAGTGCACGTTACAAGCACGTCAGAACACAGTAAAAACAACTGAAGGATTTGCTATTCTGAAACACAACCCAGTAAAGAAATACTAGCAAACTGATTTATCAACCTTCAGACGATTCTAATTCTTTGGCTGTCGAGTTGTAAAATAAAATATACCACTAAGTACAGTAGGTAATATTGTAAAGGTTATGCATACTTGAGGAGGGAGATACACATACCTCAAATTGTATTACTGGGCAAGTAGCTAATATCACTGGAAAGGGGGGTGTGACCTACAAGCATAATCTACAGTGAGCATCGATAAGCAGGAAAAACATTAGCATGAAATTAAACCTGCTTAATCATATTCCAGATGTTAAGAAAAAGATATTGCATATTTCAAACACAAATAATAGAAAGAAGCTCGGAGATATGGTCAATTCATAGTAATAAGCACAATGTCTAAAACAAGCTACTTGTAAACTAATCTGTATAATGCAAAGAGAGAAAATGGCTTCTAAGCAACATCCCATACCACAAAAATCCTTTGAAGTTGTGATATTGTGCCAGCAAACTTAGTCTTCAGTGGATTTTGCTTATCCCTAGAGTGCCTGCAGTGTGGGCAGTTCATATAGATTGGTAAATTTCTATTCAACATGGAGAAGGCACTTCCACCATCATCAAGACTAACAGACTGAAAGCTCCCTTCAAGATGTTTGGAAAAATTTGGGAGTGCAGATGCACTAAAAGATGTTTGATTCTGCTCCTTCGCTGGTCCTGAGAACTGTATTAGCCCATCGAAATTCAGATTACCATTAGTTACTATCTCTTTTGACTTATTTACACGTCTCTCCTTATTTGCAGCAGTAACAGTCATCCTATTTGAATTTCGATTAACTTTAGCATTGAAACCATTCCTATTGATTTTGAAAGCCTCCGGCAAACTATGGTCCGAGTTTTCCAAAGACTCTTCATGCAATTGATATGAGGATCCAAGCTCACTAAGATGCTCAGGATTTAATAGAAAACGGTGGCCATGGGGGCACTCATGCTCGAATCCAACATACACTACTACATGTTTTAAAGGGTTCATTTTGAGCCTTTCACTGCCATTCAGGTTCACAGGAACTACATTACTGCCTATTCGTAGATAGGGGTCACCATTTGTGCTGCTAATCCTGCTAAACTTCTCTGGAACAGATACAACATCTTCAGGCTTCCAAGGTCCTTTATCACTAGTCCTTTCTACAATCTGATCCCTTGTCCTAGTTTTGTTGATACTATTATCTAAACCAGATGAAGTTTTTCTCTGCTGGATAGGAGGAAATCCTGAATCTGCACCTGCTGTTCCAGCAACGACCTCAGAAAAGGCTTTTCTCATAGTAAAGTTGGGAAGACCTTTACCGAAACTGATTTTATTATCATCAGACACTATTTCTTCTGCAGGCTTTCTAAGACTTCCAACTCCAGATTTTAAATCCCCTGTGTACAACTGTACATCAGCTTTAGATTCAAACTTCAGGTTTGTATCTGACCTATCTACAGAACCTTGATGCACTGCACTGACAGGTAAGTCGTTTGGGCTTTTCTGTTTTTCCAAAAATATTGTCCATTTTAAAAGAAACTTCTGAGAGGAAGAGAACCCACTTTGAAGCAAACCTTTAGAAGGTTCATAGTACTTTGCACCCCCAATGCGAATCAAACTCCATGAGGAGGGTTGAATAGGCCCTGTATTATTTACTTCAGGTAATTGAAGTGTGGGAAGGTGCTTGTCACATTCTGGAAAGCAACTGAAAGTAATGTTTGCTGATTCAAAGTCAAAAGGATCAGATCGTAGTCTTCGTGATCGACCACAAGAACATGCATGAAGGAACACATATCCACTGGAATGTTGCTTCACGGGAGCCCCTGAAAGCGACTCACTAGTCTCAACTTCATGTCTCTGATGCATACATGGTTTTCCAGTCAAACTAATGGCATCACACAGTTGCCTTCCAGATTTCCAGATGGATGTGCATTCATCCTCCAGCTTTTTTGCAAAATGTTGCACTGCACGTCCTTTTACCATTGAGTGGAAAGCATGCAAAGCCTTCTCTAGATGGGCTTCATGCTGTGAAGTTGAGTAACAAACTGGCAAGTCTTTCAGATAAACCTCTTTAGCAGCTGGAAGGGTCCTTTCACACCACAAAGTTGAAAATTTTGTGTTCAGCTTTTTACCACTTTCCAACCAAGATACTGCCAAATCTAGGGGATCCAAACCTTTTGAAGAAATTCCTTCAACAGTCTGTGGAACGGTGTTTCTTAGCCGAGGTTTTCTTTTGCTAAATTCAGTTTCATCTATGCACCCGCCTTTTGCAGAAAGAACTCCATGAAGAATTTGTTGACTGGAAGATAACCAAATTTGGAAATTTGGAAGTTCAGGGGTAGAAAACGTCTTTCCAGAAGTAGCTGATGCAGCTGATGCAGCAGCGACAGCTGCAGCAACAGCAGCCATACCAACACCACCACTACTGGAATTACTTACCAGTCCTCCCCTCCCTCTTAGAATATCAGATTGCCTGACAATGAACTCCTTCACTGATATGATATCCTCTTTGCTTGCACTCTGACCATGACTTTCAAGCAGAAGAGAATCTGAGGTTCCCTTTCCATTCAAAACATCTTCCACAAGTCCGGTGGCAAATTCAAGAGATTCACCCCTCTGATTTGTACACTTATCTAACAACAGAACAGCCCTTGATGCATCAAGTGAGAATAAAGGTGCAGAACTTGAAGTCCCCCCGCTTCTTGACCCTGCATGACTTGTTTCAGAACCTGAGAGTGTTCTACACTTCTTAATTAAGAAACGAATCTGTGCTTCAAGTGATGACTGCAGTTTCTTCCTAAAACTACCCTCAGATTTACTCACAGGGCGTGCAAGCACAACCACTGAACCAGAACCTTTAACAGGTAAGCTTGGCCTTGCTAAACTGCCCGAACTAGATGATTGATTATGTGAGGATGTATCTGACGACTCCTCCACATTAGAACTGGGATTTGGCATATCAGAGAAATCATCAATAAAAACAAACAGTGTGACTGGGGTACACTGTCCTGGAAACAAAGAGGTGTAGGAACCTAAACCTGACATTAGCGAAATGGAAGAAGCATTGCGATTCAAGATGCTACCACTTCTACCTTGAGAAGAATTGTTCGTGGAGGTTGTAGATGTGGTAGGCCGCGCAGATGATAATGATGAAGGTGGCCTGGATGATGTTGGCTGCAAAGTTTGAGATCTCACAAATGGAGCCAAAGCATGCTTGGCAGCTTGTAACACTCGAAAATTTTTCAGGAGTTGAGATTCAAACCGCGACCCTTCCAGAATATATATGATTACATGGCAAACCTGCATTACTCATTGGGTTAATGATAGTATTATTCACAGACATTCATAACCCCTGTGCATGACAACTTCAAAAGTTCATGCTGAAAGTTGTAACTACTCAGAAAGAGAAAAAGGTAAAACAAAATGGTCATACACTGAGTACAGGTAAGTTCTTGTACTAGTACCAGAAACAAAACAATGCCCAGGGAAATTCTACCTCTATGAAATTTGCACTAATTTTTTTCACAAACTTTCTACGTTTAAACATGGCTTATGAGTTATAACCCAATCCAGAAGTCTAAACCCTATACAGAGTTTCTAGTTTGCACACATGGGTCCATAACAAAAATGTTCAAATTTTTTTTACAGAAAGATACAAACAAGGACCATTTCGGCTCAAATTTGCATTAAATTAGTACATATCAAAATCGCAATATATGCAACTAAAAATACTAGAGAGAAAAAAAGAGCAAAAGAAGAACAGCTTACAGAGAACATGAACAACAGCCCCTGAAGGTCCCCAAAATCGTGCTCTTCTACTGGTGAGTCAAAACCCGACCCGGACTCCGAGAACCCATCGTCCATGGCGGGGCAGCGAATGGAGCAGAACTGCAAAAACAGAATGCCCTTTTGCTGTTCATGGAAGTAACTGATTCTTCGCCACCTGAACCAGTCCCTGAGCTCCTCTTTCTCAAGACAAAGGCTTTTATCAAGATTGCCCGACCCGAACACATTGAAGTCGAGGATCCGGTTGATGAGTTGGGCCGAGTCGTCGGGGCTCCGCCCGATGAAGCCCACGACGACCACGCCGTCGGAGGAAGGAGGGTCTGAGGAGGAGGGTGCCGGAAGGGTTTGGGAGGGTGAATAGGAAATGGGTGTGAATGTGGTGGGTGAAGGAGGTGGGCGGACTAGGACCCGCATGGATGATGGGTTCGGGTTCGGGTTTGGGTTGGGAGTGTCCATGGGTGCAAGTTGGAAGGTCCTGTTGGGAGTCTGCTTATTTGGTTTGGCTTCTTTGGACTTCCATTGACACGGAGAGAGAGAGAGAGAGAGAGAGAGAGATGGTTTCTAGGTTTGGGATTTCTGGGTTGCATACATACCCAAATACCCCTTGCAGCTATTTTAATTTAACAATTCGTCTAGATGTACATTTGACAAAGTTGGAGTTGGAGTTCGACTAGTGATTATTTTGAAATTGAACAATTTTTAGAGTGCTAGACCTATAAAGCTTTGAGACATTTTTTGATTCATACAACATAAACTTTTTGTTTTGGGCCATAGTGATTATTTTGAATGTTTTTAATGCTCACTCTGTTTAGTAAGATATAAAAAAAATTACTTATTGTGAATAATTGATTTGAGAGAAAGTAATTAGAGAAAGCTGTTCTTTAGGTGTTTTTATTTTTTGATTATGCGGGAATCAAATTTGAGGACGCGCTAAGTGCACCTCATTTCTCTAGTTCGTATTGTTAAGCCAAAATCGAAATTACTCTATGTTTTTCTTTTTGCTTTTACTACCCACCTTGTGTTTGGTGTTTGGTGTTTGGGATTAAGTAAGGGTTTGGGTTTTAGGGAAAAGAATGTTGTTGCATGTCGCTTAGCAAATTGGAATTTTAAGTCTGGCTTTGGGGGTTAGTCATTTTGATGAGCCTCCAGTTTGGCTTAGTTCTTTTCTGATAGATGATTTGATGGGGTTGCTACTTTTCGAATGATTGGTGTGGCCCACTTGTTTTTCCTGGGTTTTATAATCTCTCATTGGTTTTAAAATAAAAAAATATGAATAATTCAGAGTTCCTCATTGTTCTAAAGTAAATTGGAGACCAGAAAAACTCATTCGAGCATATGAATTTTGGATTATTTTTGTTCTACTCCAATATGCAGGTGGTCAAAATTCATCACAAATACAGAAGCATGAGTACTCTTAAATACGTATATAGATCCAATAGGCAGAAACATGCTCTTCTTTAGTTTCTGAGTCTCCTATATTGATATGGCCTTTTCCCATATGCCTGTCAACCTATGTACTGATATATGTTATACAAATTGTTTACAAAGCTTATAATAATTTCCCGTGTCTGCAACATTGGTCAAATAAATTAGATCACTTTATTTTTTGGGTGCTGAGAAGGTTTATTCCTGCAAAGTTCCTCTCATTGAAATAAAAATAATTTCAAATTATAAACCATTAAAAAAACTTTAAAAGAGCATAAATTAAAGTAAATAAATAAAACAAAGTAATTTTTTAAAAAAAAGAAAAAGGAAAAGGCAACTCTACGCAATGAGCATGCAAAAGGCCAAAAATTAAAGTCAAGTATCATAAGAACAGCACCCATCCGTTGGATGGCTGGGCCTATTAAGATACATTAGGTCAAAGGCAATGGATTGACCAAATCTTTGACCACAATCAGTTATCACCAAAAGTAAAAATCTAGCTAATGAGCTTCTAATTAAGCTGGTTTTATAATGCTTAATTTGAATTTTTTTTAGCCAAACAATAGATATTTAATTGAAATAATGGCAAAAACCCATAATTCATCAGTAAGAACACAGTCTCAAATCGAGGTTCTTGCAATGCATAAACTGTAAAATCATAACCAACTATACACAAGTATTGCAAGCCAGTGAGAACAAATATATATATATCTTGAATCCCTGCTCATATGAAATTACAGATGAAGATTATCCAAATCCCAGACGCACAAAAGTTGAGTCCGTGTACATTTTGACAATAAACATGTAATACAATAAAGTGATAAAAATAAAAACTAAAAAATGCGCTCCAAAATGTTTTTTATTTTTTTTGAAAACTTTTGAAAGCGACCCATATAGCTAAGTGACAAAATTAGTTCAGAAACAACGGTTGGATATTGGAAGACAGCTGTCCGTTGAATGAGATTACATCCAACAGCTGGGTAGTGAGGTCAAAGACTTGAGACCACCGAGCCTATAAATCAGTTCAAGTGACAAGCAAACTCAGTCTTTCTTTCTCGTTTCCCATTAAAGATTAAAGCAAAACAGAGAGAGAGAGAGAGAGAAAAAGAGAGAAAACGACTGTTGGGTTAACAATGGCTAATAATAATCGGCTGTTGGGTTTTAGGTTTCGCCCTACAGATCAAGAACTCCTCAGTTACTTCCTCTACAAGAAAGCGATAACCAAGGATCAATTAATGGCGTCGTATTACAGCAACATTGTGCATGAGTTCAATTTCCTGGGCGAAACAGAGCCCTGGGTGGTCTGGGATCAGTTCGGAGGGCCTGGCCTGGTCGACGAAGACCTATATTTCTTCTCCGAACTCAAGACTTTAAGCCAAAAGGGTAAGCGCATCAAACGCAAGATTGAGGCCGGAGGCACTTGGAGAGAAGCCTTCTCGAAAAAGATTTACGACAAGACGACCGGAAACCCTATCGGGCAAAAAAGGAATTTGCGCTACGAGAACCAAGGGTGCGAGCACCACGGCAAGTGGCTACTAGAAGAATACAGTCTTCTTGATAAAGAGGCGCAGAAGATTGTGCTCTGCCGACTTAAAAAGAACAGCAGGGTTTCGAACAAGAGGAATAATTCAACTCAAGAATTTAAGGAGAAACCCTCAAACAAGAAGGCAAGAAAAGAATTGGCATCGGCAACGGTCAAGATTGATGATGAGCAACCACAGAGATCTTCTAGCCTAAGTAGCGTCGTAAATAATCATGATCAAGAGTTGATATTCGACATTAATTATAATGCGATTTCAAATTATCTTTGTAGTGATGATCAAGATAACATCGATGATCCGTTCGACTATGGTTGTGTTACTGATGAAGAATATGCTATCGGCATGGATGCATTGTTGGGAACACCACCATTGTCACAGGAGCTGCCTCATATGGCCGAAACCCTACGGGTAGAGGCTATGAACTCAAGTGGTTTGGAGAATATATGCAATCAACAATTAGAAGACATCACATATTGGTTCAACAATTAGAAAATATATTTTGAATATCTATCTGTAAGAAAATTTTGACCAATTGTGAATTTCCTTTCTTATATGGTACACGAAAGGCACCATTGTAATTTGTAAATTCCTTTCTTGGTATATATGATATGTTTCACTGAATGCTTAAGATTTTTATGAAACATTCGCCAGGTGGCATGAGCATTATGGAAATTTTGTTCGATCTTAAAGAAAATTCCTATTTGAACCTACTAAGTTTTCTGTTATAATATAATGATAATTTATATGCTTCTCCAGGCCTTGGATGCATTACTTGATGTATCTTATTCCTCATTGGACAGTCCGGTGGTAGTTCTAGCAAGAGTTTGATTTTTAAAGAACATAGTAGATATCGCATCGATCAGTCTGATACTGTAAGTAGTATATTTTGTGTCAAGGCATTGTTGTTAAACATAGTAGTATAAACTTGTCGGGTTGTGCTTTTGGTTCTTTCTCGTTCAATAGTATTGTGTCACTTTATTATTCTGAACATTATTTTTTGATAGTTGATATGCAGAGTTTAACTGCACATGTTTCTGGTGGCACTCATTTTTGTTATGGTGTGAGTTTGTAGGTTTGTGCTTCTGGTGGTTTGTGTTATGTTGATATGACTGCCTTTAGTTTCTTACTATATATTCAGGACCATCTAGATGCTTTCTTGTCCTTGTCTTTTTGCTAAGATATTTGTTCTTATCAGTGCCTCACCAGAAGTTACTTTTGGATTTACCCTACTCCTCTGTTCACATCTTGACAAGTAGGGGACTGAGTTTGTGGAGGGTTTGGGTTGGTGGAACTCATGTCAAATATATACATGACTAACATAGTGTTATTTAGATGTGTCTGTGCATCATCTGATTGTGAATTTGCAGCAAACATCCCCCACCCCTTCTCTTGTTCTTTCTTAATTTAGTAGTAGGATGTAGTTGTACGTTTTCCAGAGTGTTGTCTTACTGAAATTGAGATGTTTATGCTGTCTTCTGTAAGAGCCTAGCGAGTGGCTTTGCTGTGCGGGCTTATGAAGGATGACGACTGATAGTTTAGTTTATTTAACTTTTTTGTGAAATATTTTTATACATATGTTGACCTCTAAAATTATTACATATAAAATTTCATAATAATTGGTTTTGTGCTTTGTCTATATTGATTATGGAATTTTGGGATAGCTGACAGATAGGGCATCTGATTGCACTTCTCATTCATCTCAACGAGCTCCAGGATAATATTTAGTATTCCGGATATACTTGCCGTTAAATTATTCTAATTCGACACTTGTCTTTTCTTTCTTTTCTTAACCCAATGAAATCCTTGGTCATTTCATTTTGAGTCTACAGTATATTTATAGTGATAACCTTTTCTCTTTTGGCATGGCATGATGGCATCTATTAGGTGCTGCATCAGCGGCAGCGTAGGATTTTGATGGTTAGGAACACTTTTTTTTATACCAATTAAGAACACTGTTTTTTTTTTAATACCAATTAGGGACTGCAAAGGAGCTCTGGGATTCAGTGAGGTCGCATTATCAGAAAGTAAAAGTGTATACGATTTTGTTTTGTTTTCGATATTGACAATAATATTTATTTGATCTATGTGTATCTTATACAAACATGGTTACACATATAAACATCACATTCACATGCATGTTCCCTGCAAGAACATACTTCTAATGGTGTTCTTTTGCCTATGGTCTGAGCAGTTGTAAGGAAAGCTTCACTCTTCTTTGAAGTTTCTCAATGCAATATTAACAAAATGTTTCTGTGGAGTCTTATTTATCTGCTCTTGATTAAGGCCGAAAGGCATTTGTATTTAGTCTCATCTCTTTTAAAACTAACCCAATTAAAATTGAATGACATTGTTGCTCTGCATTTGTCTCCAATTACATAACACATTACCAATATATGTGAGGGAGGAAAGAAGCAAAGAAAACCAAACGAGCATAGGAGAAAAGTAAATGGCAGTCTAATCTCTGTCACAGTTTACTACAGAATAAAGGATGTATATTTCGCCTGTTCATGAAAAAATTACATCTAAACTTACAGCCAGTTACACTTGTACAATATATCTAATTAATCAGCCATGATTTCCTCCATAAAGGAATTGTAAGTCTGATCCATAAAGGAATTGGACCAGTAGCCGTTTTGGTCTAATGGTTGGCTGACCACATTATGAACATCATCGAGCTCTGCAAAGGTTGACAAAGGCTCTGCATCTTCTGCCAATAGTTCATCGACGTCGATAAATAAATATGGATCCTCATGATCATCGGCATTTATATTATATTGCCCTATTAATCGTGCTAGTTCATCGCTATTATACTCAAAATTACTCAGATTGCTGGTGGTTGCTTCCACTGGTCTGTCAAATTGATTAACACAAGGCTCTTCTTGGCTTTCAGCAATCTCAGGCAGTTGCTGCGAGTGTAACAATGGCGGTTTGCGGTCTAGTTCTGCAAGGAGTTCATCAATGTCGAAGCTTTTATAATTGGTGTCGATCAAATATTCTTGATCATAAGTGGTACTCTCGTTGGTCATCAACTGATTCCTCTCATCATTCATAATCTGCGGCCCCACTGAATTTTCAGTTTTCATCTCCTCTGTAGACTGATCTCTTTTCATCTTCTTGTTTGATTGATCTTGACACGAGCACTTCCTCTTTTTCCCAGACTTGTCCATATTGCCCTTCCTTCTCAGCCGACAAATCACAACGTCAAAATCATAGCAATTACTACTTGTGCCGTTCTTGCGAGTATATTCATCCAAAAGCCACACGGCGTGGTCCTCCGAAGTATTCCCGTTCTCGTACCGGAATTTCCGTTTTCTCCCTGTAACATCAACATTTTGGTAGGTTTCGGTTTCGCTCCAAGTACCGCGGCCAGTCTTGCGTTGGATGCGCAAACCGTTTCTCTGGAGCTCCGAAACGAAGTACAAGTCTTGATCCGTAAGTTGATCTCCTCCGTAATCTCTCCAAATTTCTGAGGGTTCTCGTTTGTTGCCGAAGAGGTTGCACTTGTGGATAACCTTGTTGTATTGCGGCATCGAGGTCAGAGGCCTTTTCTCCACCACCATCTTGTAGAGAAAGGAGCCGATGATTTCTTGGTCCGTGGGGCGGAACCGGAAGCCGAGCAGCTGTGTCACGCCGGAATTAGCCATGAGAAAGAGAGAGTTGGAGAAAAGACCTTCACCACACAATCTTGTCGAATGACACCGATTTATGGTAACGAATTCCCCGAAAACCTAAAAAGGGTTATCAAAGAATCGGGTTTCCCTTCGCTGGATGTGTTCATATGCACTGCTGATCCGTGCAAAGAACCACACAATCTTGATTTAACTTTTGCCCAAAGGAGGAAGACTGTTCTTGTTCAAGTGAAGTGCGCAAGAGTGTATATTTATAAGCTGAGAGTTACTTGGAAACAAAGAAACCCGTTGCGAGAGAGAGAGAGAGAGTTTTCCCAATTGAATTGAATTTTGGTCAAACAACTTTAAGCTATGTGGGGCTTTCGAAAAAAAAAAAGTAAAAATTTTTTTTTCTTTCAAAAAAAAAAAAAAAAAAAAAAAAAAAAAAAAAAGAAAAAAGGTTTGTGCATATTTTTAGTATTTTATTTTTATTTTTATCACTTTATTATATCACTGGTTTATTGTCAAAATGTACACGGATTCAACTTTTGTTCTTCGTATATACCAACCTGGGAATAGAAATGGCCTCCCCTACCAATAAAGAAACAAAGCTCTAGTGCTCAAAGGGTTTATTTGTTCTTCAAATCGGACAAATGCTAATAGATCTAGTAGGGAGCCAGTGAAGGCACTAGCCCCCACTCAGTCTTGTTCTACACCCATGAAGGTGTCAAGTTTTTATGGTATTTTCTGTTAAATCGGGGCAAACTGTTTGATAAAATGCCTCAAAGAAGGCTAAGGTGGGGAATAGGGGCAAAGAAATGGTTCAGACTTGAGCTGCATTAGGCCAAACTTTACAGTTGTTGCTAGGCCCCAAGTTCTTGTCCCCAAGGAAGGATAATTCCTGGATCCACAAGTGATTGTCACTGTCATTGTCTCATGAGTACGGGCTGCTTATTGGGCATATAGCCTACATAAATCCAGTTATTCATTTCATTTGAATATGTAATACAATTATATTCTTTATGGCTAATATAAGTTGATAATTAGGCATTTAGATTAATGGCTGTTCAATTCAGTTATGGTATCCTTCATCAGCAATTTATGTCTTGAATCCTATATAAACCAGTGTACACTTTTAATTGGATATGCAATACAGTGATTTTCTTCCTTTCTAAATTTTCCTTTCAACAGGACCATCTTACAGCATGACAGATATATTTTTGTTATGATACTTTATTATTTTTAAAATAATTTTTAGGGTGTGATGGAAACATATTTCACACAAAAAATATGTAGGAGAAAGTGAAACTACATATATATATATATATATATATTTTACCAAACACTTGAATAGAAAAATCATTTCAACATAGTGCCCTTTTAGTCATTATACACAGCTAACAAAACTTTCACACAAAAATTTACCAAACACTCAGAAACTGATCATTATAACAACAAGTTTACCAAACACTCAGACTATTTCAATTTTCATCTATCTTAATTGTCAAATCCCTTATTTTTAGCATTTATATAATTTCTTTTAATTTGGAGAACCTATTCAATAATAAGATGTTTCAGCCAAAAATAATCAATGACCACACCAATAGACAAACTAAGAACCAAAGGCCCAAACCCGGCCTCAGAATTGGACCGCACCAAAGCACCTGAGTGGCACCTCCTCATTGGCCACAAAAGCTCACTCTCAAAACATCATCTTCAATTTCATCTCACTATCATCCACCTCCACAAACCAACCCAAACAAGCAATGCAAGCAGCCTTGGCAGCCATGGCAGCCCACACTTTGATGCTCTCAACCTACTCATCTCCCACTCTCTTCTCCCAAATTCAAAGCCCTAACTCTCACCCACTTCCTCACTCCTCCTTCCATGGCCTCTCTGTTAAGCTCCCACTCAAATCCCAATTCCAATCCATGTCTCTCGCCGCAGCCCATAAGCCTCTCACTGTGGTTGCCGCCACCAAGAAAGCCGTCGCTGTCCTCAAGGGCAATTCCAGTGTCGAAGGGGTCGTCACCTTAAGCCAAGAAGACGATGGTCTCTTCTTATGCATACCCTTCATTCCCCTTATATCTGTGATTTTCTAATCCAAATATGCTTCTTCTTCTTTTCTTCTCTCACTTGGGTTTTTTTATAGTGTTTCCGATTGTTTTATTTTATCCTTAACTTGTTAATTCTGCTTGGTTCCATTCTTACATTCTCTATGTCTGAGGGAATGAAAATGTGGAAAAAATGATGTGTTGGTGGAAGCTTTAGCGGATTAGAACTGAATTTTAGTTCTGCATTATTGGGTAGTGAATAGGTTCTTTATCTTAAATCATTAGTCCAATTTATAGATTTTCTTGTTTCTAAATTTGACTTCTCTTCGTTGACAATTATGAAAATGAGGGTAGTCAACTTTTTCAAAGTTGAGTTTATATTTGATTTAGTTGATTGCTGTTTCAATTCTTCCTTTAATTGTGAGTGAGCGGTCGGAATTCCATGCTCAAAAGCTTAGGTGTGAAGGTAGTCTGAACTCATAATTTCAATGGCATTTCATGGTGCAATGACTGCTCATCACTGATCGTGTTGTACTGTTCCTAGGGCCTACAACTGTGAATGTTCGTATTACTGGACTTACTCCTGGGCCTCATGGGTTCCACTTAGTGAGTGTTTCTGCATTAGCTTCTGTCATCTGTGGATTAGTAAACTTGCAATACCTAAGTGTTTTTCTTTCTTGTGTAGCATGAGTACGGTGACACAACAAATGGATGCATATCCACAGGTATGGCTTGCTTTTGTTTCAAGCTTAAACTGTTAAAGTTATAATATTTCAGTTGATGTAGTTATATCTGTGATTCTTTTTTTTAAGCCATTGTAATGAATTTGTCTTTTCCTTATAACTTTGCAATTAATTCTAAATATTAGGACCGCATTTCAATCCTAAAAATTTGACACATGGTGCTCCTGAGGATGAAATCCGTCATGCGGGTGACCTGGGAAACATAGTTGCTAATGCCGATGGTAATTCATTTTTTAAATTCATTTACAAATTTGTTTCAATCTTCCATAGCAGTTAATGTACTAAGAGATATATTGTGGGGATGCAGGGGTGGCAGAGGCAACAATCGTGGATAACCAGGTAATCATTAAACTTGGGTAATGTTCTTCTATAATAATGTTTGTAAGCTCAGGGCATGCTTATCTTTATTTTCATACAGGTTTGGTTGTGGTGTCTGACAATTTTTATGTTCACACTTTGTACTGTGTTCCCACCCAAGTAGTATATGATTACTCAGTTTTTGGTTTTGGCTTAAATTTGTAGATTCCATTAACTGGTCCTAATACTGTAATTGGAAGAGCACTTGTCGTTCATGAGCTTGAGGATGACCTTGGAAAGGGTAAGTATATCTGTAATCTAGCTTGTGGAAGAAACTTGTTAGTACATTTAAAGGATGAGTAGGGCAAACTTTACATGCAATGGTTTATATGGTTGAACTAAACAGTTGGTGGGTAAAGACAAGAAATTTAAACAGAAAAAGTTGTCTCCTCCCTTCCCTTGTTCTTTTTTGGGGGATGGAGTAGAAGCAAGTTTTTAGCATATGACCGACCCCCTATGTGAGTTTAGGATCAGGAAACTTTGTTACTAAATTTGATGCTTCCTTTCAAATTCTTCTTATTTCTTTCCTCAATCACTTTTGGGTTGCATTTGTAGGTGGACACGAGCTTAGTCTAAGCACTGGCAATGCAGGTGGAAGATTGGCATGTGGTAAGCAAGAAAATTCTGATTCACATTTATTTCTCTTTTCTTCAGTCCCTTTTCTGTTTTCCTGTTTGGAAGAAGATTATATGTTGTTTATTGCTCCTTTATGTGACTGTGAATTGGAAGAATATGATAAGTTGATGATGATGAATAATTTTTTTCGGGAAATAGGGTAATTATTTCATTAGACATGGACCATTGTGCATAACAAATGATTCATAACATGATTTTAATTATTTGCTTCAAGTTTATTCCACCTCAATCATTAATTTTATTTATTTATTTGTTGAACTAAATAGGTGCTCGATTTAGCGAAATAAAAGTAATTTGATTACTGTATGTGAAAAAAAGTAAAAAAAATGCCCATATGCCTTACCTGTGTTAAGGTACTGTAAAATATGAAATTGTGATCAACAAGTTTGTTATGCATAGAAACTTGGGAAACATCTACCGTTCATCAACATTCTTTTGGGTGAATTTGGGGGAGAATGTTATATTTATGCATGTCTTTATTATAGCATTAGAAACCCTTCCAAGATGATCCGCTAACCCATTTCCATGTTTAATTGGGGTCTTGAGAAACCTCTATATAATAATAATAAAAATCATTGTTTTGCTTTGGCTTGTAAATATTGATAATGAGAATTGACTATTTTGGGTTCTAATGTGAAGATGAACTGGCCTCAGATAAAAATTAGAAAAAGGTATACGGGCTCTATTTTCAGTTGAATATATCCAAAACTCTGTAATCGTCTTAATAATTCACAGCCAACTAATTTAATTAATAACATAGAAATGATGAGTTCCAGTTCTTACATATGCTGATGAAATCTTTCATGTCCCAATCTATGGGTGGAAATTGTTATTTGCCCCAACATCTGGATGCCTGTTGCAATTTAAAATAATTGAAGGACTTAAGCCAACTCACAAGGTCACCTAAAAAACTGCCACTTCTTTTGTTGGGCACAAGTGAGATGGGTTTGGTCAAACCGTTTGGGTATAGGGTCATCTGAGATACTTATTGATTAATGGCTAGGTTCTAAAGGGTACATTCTTGAGGCCGTTGAACATGTTTAATGGGTTTCGGTAACAGTTCATCAATTGCCATTATCCTAGGATTTATTTTTCTCATCATTAGCCTCATTAAGAAGGCTTTGAGAACCATTTGGAGCATCCCTCTCTGGTTTTCACGCTTTCCTATTAAACTGTAGTTCTAGTGAATTAGTGAGTGAACAAAGGTTGAGAGTGAGTATTTTGTGCGTTTCATTCTGGTTATGGTCATGGCAGTCTACTCTTCATTATTTGTTCTATCTCTTGCTGCTCTATATAATAGGCTTTAGTCACAACATTGTAGGTAGACGTATAACAGAGATACTTGCATTAGGCATATAGCAGCTGTGTTCAACATAGGAAGAACAGAACTAGCATATGATTTTCTGCTCCTTCTTAGCTAATAGGTAGTCCCATGAATGCCATTTCCCTGTTTAAAATGCTTCCATGCATCCTAGTTAGGATGAGGATGGTTAATTAGGCGATAATTTGTTTTATAGGAGTGAACTGAGTGATAATTGGGAATATAGTTTCTGATCTTTGCTGGATATGCTATGTGTTTAGAAGCATCAAAAAGGAAAGTTTACTTTAGTTGTACAGATGCATAGTGCTTCAAGTGCTGATATTAGTTGAACTTTCTTTTTGTGAACCCCATCTAATGACATAATCACATCGTATTGTTGAGTTTTTTCTTGAACATGTTCTCCTGCAACACTGCAGCATATATGGAACTTATTGGCCTGTTTCCATGATTTCATTAAATTCTCAATTTTCTTCATTTTTCTTGGCTTGCAGGTGTGGTTGGTTTGACACCAGTGTAACGACAACATCCTTTTCAAATCAGTTTGGTATGAAGATTTGGCTGCAGTGGTTCTAAAGTTTCTCATATAGAGCTAATCTATTGAGGGTGTAATGTAATATTATGGACAAGGTCATTATAACATTTGTGGAATATTTTGATCTCAATAAACTTGAGTTGCTATGGTTGCATTATGAGATTGGAGAACTTGCTTTTGACTTTAGAAACCAGTAAGATTGGATTAATGATGTCCTTTATCCCATAAGAATGAGCATGATTCTATAGTGTCTATTGGCCTGAGTGCGTTGTGAGAGTGAAAACTTGTTATTGACTTGAGTTGCTATGCCTACATCCGACAAAACCGGAACGATACATGGAAGATTAACATGGTACATGCACAAGGATGCCACACATAAATCAAAACCTAATGTTCTACCATCACATAAGAGAGCATGATTCTAGTCTTTTTACTGGAGTGAACCTGACCGATATGTGCAGAGAGTGATGCAAGAGTAGGAGACTGAGCTTTGTTTTTTCTATTTTGGTACAAGGGAAAGGTGGACGGTGAGGAAGGCTCAGTTTTGTTTTTCGTTTTTTCTATTTTGGACAAGGGAAGAGCCATGAAAGGGCACGAGGCACAGTTTTGTTTTCTGTTTTTTTTTCTAGGTTTGTTTAAGGGCGTAGGACCAAAGGTGGCTCACAATTTTTCTTATTTTCTTTTGCAGACCTCAAGTGGCATAGCAAACTTCCAAGCTTGAACCTCGGCTGCCCAAGCAACTTGCTTTATCTTCTTTCAACTTGTTTTAACATTCTAACAATCTGTTTAGCTGCTCTAATCCAATCCACTAGCAAATGGTAAAATTGTACAAAGTGAATCCATCGCCCATTCAAGAACCTTTTAACCTGAAAACCATTGAGGTAAAACAAATTTAATTTGTCAAAGATTCAATGGAGTCCACTTTGATAATTAATGTCTCTCGGAGCTGTGCCTTAATATGTTCGCAATTTCTCTTTTATCACATTAGCATGATTGGAGAATTTAAATTCAGAACCTTGAATAATGGTAAATGCTCTTAATCAATAGAGTTGCAAGCCCTCACAATGTTAGGATATTTTTAATTTTGATTCTTCATAGAGAAATTATGAACCCTTTTATGGGTAGAAAAAACTTTCTTGTAACGAGAATAACACTGTTTTGCTATCTCTGACCAATAATGTAATGACCTGTGTAAAAATTAACTTGCGTGTCATTGCATTATTCCCGAAAGCATAATGTTATCCCCATTACATAAAAGTCTCTTTCCTTTGCGAGGGACACCTGACACCCTAATAATCTCTCTCGACTCCAGAACTACTTGTAGTTAGTTGATAGTGATTAGTCAACTTTGAATCACGATATCTTTTACATTTGTTGGGGTCCTATAAACTAGGCTTAGTAGGCTTAGCCAATGCTTTTTAGTCAACACGTGGCTGGTAAGCGGTGCAGTTCATGCCATCATTCTGGTAAGAGCAGCCAACAAACTATTACACCTGCATGCATCAGATCTAGCCAACATCTCATGAATAGGCACTGTCGGTTTTAGCATTAAATTGAAATTCATTTTAGTTTCTTTGAAGGTATTTCAAGCAACCATATAGCAAGTAACATCAACACAAAAGCAGGTTCGAAGGTCATTTGGCAGTGAGACTCAGTTTTCACTTTATTTGAAGAGGTTTGGAGTTCAAATTTTATAGACGATAATTGTTGAATAAAATAAAATAATCGAATTAAAAGCATAATATCCACACAACACAATTTATTAAGTATACGATCCAACTCATTATTAAGGCTCCTTTCCCACCAACCATCTAACGTGTGGCTAAAAGTGACCAAGTCATGAGTCAAGTACCAAAATACGATTAGTACTCACTATGCCAAAAATTGGCTTTAGCAACACTATCAATAAAACTGAAAATCAATGCTTTTAAGTATATTACGCATCGCTTTTATAAATTAAGATGCTAAAAGGTAAAAAGACTTCAGCACAAATATTTTGTTTTTATTAGCGATGCCTTGATGCCAATTTAGCATCGTCTATTCTAATGACTGATGCCTAAAGTGTTTCTCTTTTTTCTTTTTTTTTGGGTAAAGCGGGGGGCTTTTTTTTGGGACATTTTGGAAAAAGCAAAAGGAAAGAGAAAAATTTTAAAAGAAGCAAAAATGGACAAAAATGCCCTTATTTATTTTTAGATTTCCTAAGGAATCCAATACATTTGCATGTCTTTGATGTGAAAGTTGAGCGGTTTTTTTGTCTTTTTTGAAAAAGCTTTGGCTTTTTCCAAAAGTGAAAATTTTTTTATGTCTAAAACCTAAAAAACCTCTTTTTATTTTGGGAAGCACTGATGTTGAAAGTATTGTCAACGCTCCAGCAAAAAAATTTAGTAAATTTAGGTTTTAGCCAAAAAAAAATTTTCACTTTTGGAAAAAGCCAAAGCTTTTTCAAAAAAGACAGAAAAACCTCTCAACTTTCAAATCAAAGACATGCAAATGTAAAGGATTCCTTAGGAAATCCAAAAATAAATAAGGGCAATTTTGTCCATTTTGGCTTCTTTTACAAAATTTCTCTCTTCTTTGTGTTTTTCCAAAGTCTCCCAAAAAATTTCATGCTCCCTCTCCTTTTTTCAGACTCCCTCACAACCTTGGCTCCTCTCCCTCGCATTTTTTTTCTATCCCTCCCAAACTCGCTTGCCATTTTTCAGCTTCTATCTCTTGAAAAAAAAAAACTCACATTTTTTATGGATCTCCTCCATCTAGACACTCGAAGTTTGGCTATAGCAAAAATAACCTAAGGCCTTCGAAGAAAGGGAGAGCCATAGGCATCCTCCTCCTCGTCCAGAGAAAGCCATATAAGTCCCTTCGTTAGGGTTTTAACCTTCGACATTAGCATCCTCTTCTGCGGCATCCTCTTTCTTGTTGGTGTCGTCGTGTGAGATTATTTAAGTTAAGGTTTCAATATTTTGGGAAATTTTAGTTAGGGTTTCAATTTATTGAGTAATTTCTCTAATCTTACTATGTTTTTCTCTCTTCGGCTAGCTCATTGTCTCTTGGATCTCACTACCTCTCTGGGCTTTAATCTAATGTATGAAAATCTCTAAGCTTTCGATGTTTGGGTGTTTCTGATTTGGTGTTAATGTTTTTGAATTGTTTTCATCTTTATTCAATCTCCTACCTTTTTCATTTTATTTATGTATTGATGTTTCTGGATCTCATGCTTTCTTTTGGTGGAGGTATTGGGAGGTGACGGATCTACGATTTTCTCTTTCTCAAGATCGCTATATCGCTCAACTCATCTCTGTGCTCTCAGTTTCTCGCTCAATTCATATCTGCTCTCACGCTTTTCCTTACTCATCTCTTTGATCTTACCCTCTCGCTAACCTCTGAAACCACAAACCCAATGAATTCCCAACTTTTCCCTTCTTTTTTTTTGGTACTGCAAGACTAG